TAAATCACCTGGGACCAGGCCTTAGGAATCATCTTCTTAAAAGGTAACAAAGAATAATCCAAAAGGGTTCCTAAACTTTTGCACAGGGCCCTTTTTCTTTTCTTATCATTTAAAAACTCAGAAAAATTTAAATAAAAAGAAACCTTGCTTTTAATTTGCAGAAAGGTGTCATGTTAACTTTGAAAGCAAAACCGGACACTAAATGCTACAATCACTTGGAGATTAATTGTAACAGACATTCAAACCAGGGGTGCCCAAATCTTTGCACCTCACTGTATTACCTGAGCGCAGCTAATAATTTAAACTCATCATTTCCATGTGAAATAAATGAAGGCTCTAGAGGTCTTCGGAAAAACCCGACAGCCCGAAAACCTGAGGTTCCGACCCGACCCGGCTCGGGTTTTGGGTCCATTCACAAGAAGTGATTCCCGGGCCGGGTCGGAACCGGGAGAGTTTGTCTCGGGTCTCGGGTCTCTTATAGTGAAAGGCCGGGTTATGTAGTACCCGAGAGGACCCGACGATTGGCGGTCACAGCTGTCAATCACCCCCGCCCTCCCCTTTTCCCCCCTACCGTCCAATGCGAGGCTGCGAGCTGCCTGTGTGACTACGCAGGGCCAGCGCTAGACGGCTAAATTTGGGGTAAAATATCCATCCTTCATTGACTACAATTAGTCCTGTCTAATTCTAGATGGTTTTCCTTTATTAACACATTTTCCAATTCAAGAATAATCAAGTGGCAATTGAAGAGACGGCTTCTCTCCCCCATGCGATCTAACAGCGACAAAATAATGGGCTACATTCAGTCCAGAAAAATAATTTAATTATAAATAGGTCTATGCCAGGCGCATCGCTAGAACAGGAAATTGGGGGACACAGACACGTCCCTTTATGACAAGAATTAGTCCTGGCAAGTTCTCAATCATTTTCCTTTATTGGCGCGTTTTCCAATTATCGTAACTGGTAACTGAAGACACGGTTTCTCTCCATATGCGATCTAACAGCAATGAAATCATGGGCTAAATTCAGTACAGAAAAATAATTTATGGGCCAATGCTTTGCGTTGATTGAACTGGTCTTTGTTCCAATGAAATATCGCCTTTCACTCTCGGTTTTGCATGGGATGATAAAACAAAACGTGGCACTCGGCGGTTAAATAGGCTATAAAAAGCATGCGGCTCAAGCTATTTGCGCAAGTATGCAATTTTGAATAACATTGATTTAAATGAGCAAATCGCGGCCCAGATGAATGATTGTCATCTTACCTAATCGGGGAGAACAAGCAGCACCTGTTAAGTGTGGAGCGCCTCGGAGTGAACCTTTTGTTAATCATGAAAATGACTGAGAACAGGTCAGGACTAATGACTGTTTTAAACGGATGTTTTGTGCAACCCAATTCTCTGTTCTTGTTCCGCAACTGTACTGAGTTTAGCCCATCATCTAATCGCTGTTAGATCGCATATGGAGAGAAACCGTGTTTTCAGTTGCCAGTTACGATAATTGGGAAAACGCGTCAGTAAAGGAAAATGATTGAGAACTAGCCAGGACTAATTCTTTTCATAAAGGGAAGTGTCTGTGCCCCCCAATTCCCTGTTCTAGCGACGCGCCTGGTCTATGCACTGGCACTCAGCAACGGTAATTTTTTTTTTTTTCCAGCGAGAGCAGCATATCAGAACTCTTTTGCGAATGAAGGTAATTTCGGCGACAAGTGCGCACACCTGTTTTTGCAGCACGGTCACGCAACTTGCTGTAAAAAATAGACAGCTGTCCAATTGGAAAATGTAAACGGACGAAACCACGTACTTGTCACCAGAATTACCTGAAGAGTTCTGAAATGCCGCTCTCGCTGGAAAAAAAAGTTACGTCGCTGAATGCCAGTGCATAGACCTAATTATATATATTTTTTTGTCTGTACTGAATGTAGCCCATTATTTTGTCGCTTTTAGATCGCGTGGGGGAGAGAAGTCGTGTCTTCAATTGCCACTTAATTATTCTTGAATTCGAAAACGTGTTAATAAAGCAAACCCATCTAGAATTAGCCAGGACTAATTATTTTCAATAAAGGGCGGGATATTAGCCCTGGAATTTTCAGGTCTAACGACGTGCCTGGTATCGAGGGTAACAGCACTAGCGTGTTGTTACCGCGGTATGCTCTGCAAAGCACAATGGAAACTCCAAAATTATAAAGTTAATTAAACAAGAGAAGATATGTTCTACTGACCGGTGGATTAGCGTTAGCAATGGCTAAGAAGAAGGATTACAGTACATGACCATCTAAACAAGAAAATGACGCCGTGGATTTATTTTTGTTTACATCACGTTATGGCCAGGGGGGCTAGCAGTGCCCGCAGCAGGAACCGGGTAGAAGAAGACTATGTTTAGGTAAGAAACAGAAAGTAATAAAAACAAGTCTTATTTAACGCCAGACAACTTGTATTAAATCATAAAGCAACTCGGGCATTTCGGGTCCACGGGTTTTTTAGGGTTCGGGGCTGGTATATCACGGTTCTATTTGGAGTCGGTTCCGACATATCTCGGTGCTGCTCAGGTTCGGAACTCAGATTTATAGTTATAGCTCGGTGCCAGTCGGCTCCGGGTACAATTTTCACGGGTCCGTTTGGGTTCGAGTCCGTCAAATTGGACCCGTGAAGACCTCTAGAAGGCTCCATTTTGGAGCCTTTTCCTTTGTCACCTCAGGCAGGAACTGTGCTGTGACTGTAATGCCTGGTAAAGGAATCCAACTGCAAGTAGTTCCAAAGTGCAAAAATTGATGTCTTTATTCAGTCCGAGTCCAATGCCAGGTAAACACAGTGATGGTACAGGGGAGCAATCCAAAAACAGGCAAGGCTTCAAAAACCAAAAAGCACAGGTAACAGTACCAAATCGTGAGGCAGTGGGGAAGTAGAGTGTCCGTAATCTGAATTCCAAAAGCCCGGGCAGCAATATGAAGCAATCATGGTCGGGCAGAAAATGGGTCGTAATCAGGAGCAAACAGAACCAGGCAGGCAGAGACAATTCGGTGTCAAACAGAAGCGCCTCACAGAATCACAAACAGATCACTGGCGTACACGGAGCTCGACGCAGAGAAAAGTTGATCACAGTCTGACAAAGCTAAGCAGAAGTGAGAGACTATATATATACAAGCGAGGTAACAAGCTAGGCAGGGCAACAGTTGTGAGGGATAATCTAAACATTAACTGAGAGGGGAAAACACAAGAGGTAATTAAACAATACAAAATGGGAAATAATGACAAAGAATAATTTTCACGTGACATCCTTAAACAACAGCTCCATTCAAGGAGTGCCTAAGTGAGGAGAGATGGAAGAAACAGATTAGTAGAAGAGATATTTGCAAGGTTTCTGCAGAACAAAGGCAAAGCACTGGGAGAGCAAAGAGGGCAGAGCTACAGATTAGTGTGAAAGTGGAGAGAATCAATTAGTAAAGTTAGTAGTCTGTGCAGAATTAATAATGTGCAAATGTGCAAGTTAGTATGTTAGTTATTTACAGGATTAGGATATTCGTAAGGGTTAGTTAATAAACTATACAAAACATACAATGTTAGTGTGATTAGTACTTAATTAGTAATCAGTGTTGATGGAAGTAAATGAGGCATGAAGGAACTTGTGAAACACCAGAAACTTCTGCAATCACCCAAAATGTGACGGCACAGACAGGGGCGATGCGTGCACTGGCAAAGAACATAGAAACGCGAGACATCACAGGGGAAAACAATGTGCATAACCTGGTAGATGATACTGAATGCATAAACTAAACGAACTATGTGGAAGTAAACATAAACCAGAACAGGCAAAAATCCCAGATCATAACAGTGACTGAAAAAAGCCCAAACAGATTCTGAGACATTCAGTGCTGCCAAAGGTCCTGGGGATTAGTCCAAAATATTATACTCTTCTTTTTTTTTGATGTTATTGAAAATGTTCTGAGGCCAAATTAATGAAAAAAAGTTTCTTTGTTTCAATGCTTGGAGAAACAATGAATGCAGATGCTTCAGTTAATTTTCTTGGCTTGGTTTGAGTACGCTCATCTCAATGAAGGTGAACGGGACACTGCTGCTCAGTGCCATTATTCTGTGTGATCCCATATATCCTATGATGAAGCATTCCAACCATGATGGGAGCGGTCTCTTCCTAGATGACAATGGCCCAAGCCCCACAGGACACAAGGGGTCATTGAATGGCTTTGAGTATTAAAATGATCCATACCATAAGCCCCCCGCCCTCATAGTCACCAGATCTCAAATCGGCTGAACTCATATGGGAGATTCTGGAATAAAGTGTTACACAGAGCTCTCCATCATCAAAAACAAAAAGTGAGGGATCTCTCTTGAAAGCAAGGAACTCCATCTCTCCGTAAAGTTTTACTCTTGTAGTCTCTATGCTAGGGCACATTGAAGCTCATCTAGCAGATAGTGGAGGCTCAACACCCTCACGAATAGTCCACATTGATATTTCTATTTTTTATCCCCATCAGTAAATCAGTTTTCAGACGGTGTATTGAGTGACAAGACGAAGTGACCCAGGAAACTAATGCATGACTCATTGCTGAATTGCAACATAACTCTGAATCCACAAAACTCTCCAACTCCCCCAGCCCCCACACAGATTGTGTCACAGATACAGAACACTTTAAACCTCTGTATGCTCTCTAATCTCTGAATGCTCTCTCAAGTCTCTGAATGCTTTGGAAGCTCTCAATACTCTCTCTAGTCTTTGAGTGCTCTCTCCGAATACAATGTCAAATCTGAATTCTCTCATGAATCCTTGATCACCCTCTCTTCTCTGAAAGCTCTTTAACCTCTGATTGCACACTTTAGTCTCTGATTACTCACTCTAAATACTTTATTGTATCATACAGCAAACACTTTGAATAGCTTTCTGTACAACTCAATCCTTCATTTTTGAATAAAAATGTTACCCCACTTGTAATGGGTACTACCATTAATATGATTTACAAGATTAACCAATATTTTTGTATTGTGAGCTGCCAGATAGCTCAGTTGGTAAAGCATTGCACTATGAAGCAGAAGTGATTATCACGTTGTGGGTTCGATCCCCGCCTTGTACCAACCGGCAGTGGTCGGCAGCTTTTTCAGAGTAGCGCACAATTGGCTATTGCGCTACAGGGTTGCAAATTGGGAAGGGACTGCCGGGGAGGGAATATAATAGTTGCCTTGTTCGTTGCTCTAGCGCCTCCTGTTGGCCAGACGGGCACTCGTCAGGAAGATTAAGCCTGTTCATGTCTGCGTATCCTCCGCCCTCGCTCTGAACTTGCGAAGAGTCAACCAATGAGGGTATAAGAAGCGGTGGCTGACAGGTGCGTGTGAGGATACGCTCAGGAACCAGATGCAAGAACCAAGCAATGCAGTAGATGAGTTTATTAAGCGAGGGGGGAAACCCCTGCAGGGCAGAAGGCAAAGGTACAAAGTCCAATAAAAAAAAAAAAAAAAAAAAAACCCCAATCCAGTAGGGCAGAATCAGAGTCGAAAACCAGGGCAGCAATCACAGTACTCGAGGTCGGGCAAAAACAGGTTCGGTACACAGGCACAGATTTGTCAGAGAAGCAAAAGCCAAAATCCAGAGGGCGTAATCCAAACCGTTAACAGGGCAGCAAACACAAAACTCGTAGTCGGGCAAAAAGGGTTCGTAAACAGATGCAGACAATAGTACCAAAAAGCAGAGCCAAAAAATCGAAGGTCGGACGGTCCAGTCAGAAGAGAACCACTTTGAGTACAAGGCGAAAATGATAGCAGCACAAGAGAAACGTTCTGACGGGGAACTGCAGTGAGAAGACAGCTTAAATACACTCAAGGGAAGTCACATGCTATGATTAGGATCAGGTGATGAGGATCAGACTAATTACGTGGGAGGAAACACAAGGGAGAACCTAACCTCATGAAATTGGCAAAAGCCAAAACGCGGACAGGGAACACGAGACAGCCTATGACAAGACATACAGCTCCAGTTAGGGAGTTCTAATGTGCACAGATAATGAGAGGCAGGACAGGTGCGGAGGATCCGCTGAATTGCAGCAAAGACTAAGTGAAGGCAAGAGGCGGAGACTAGAACAGGGCGAGTGCTGAGAGCTTGTTAATCAATTAGTAAGTGCAGCTATACAATCCCTAGTGCTCGTTAGTAAGTTAGTATTATAAACAATGTTAGTCTGGGTTAGTAACTATAACAAAAACAACAAACTGTTAGTATTGGTTAGTAGAGTAGAAAAGAGAGGCGAAGTAAGCAAATGAGATTGAAAGGAATGTTTGAAACCCAGAAACCATGAAATCACCTAAGCATGTGACACGCAGGACTGGGGAGAAGCTGTAACTTAACAAGAGACCAGACAGGGGAGACAAAGTGCAATGAAGGGCGTGGCAAAACATGGACCGGACTATAACAGAAAAGTGGATTGGGAATGGCAAAAACGAAAACATGACAAAATACAAAAACTGAACAGAACATGGCAAAACCTAACAGAACTGATCATAAACATAACAGGGAAGACAGAAACATAATAAACATGGCAGAATCATGACAGAACAGAGCAGAATCATAACAGTGCGTGCTTCGGAGGAGAGCTGCGAACTGTCTACACTCTCCTGAATTGGCAGCAAGGGGTCGCATACGAGCAAGCCTTGTACATAGTTCGCCAATTGGGCATTCCAGATTCGGGTGGGATTGGAGATGCCAAATTTTATATAATATTGTGAAACTGTATAATATGATGCATCTGGACACATCTTCAGTGATGTACTGAAATCCTCAAGTGTTCGGAGTTTCTCACCATCACACTCTCTCCTCCAGGTGACCCGGCAGAGGCTGATCAGACCTCAGTTTGTGTGCAGACAGCAGTGAGAGGCTCCACCCTCCATTACTCTCCTCTCTAGAGCCACAGCCATCTAGAGACTCTCTCTGCTGCTTCAGTAGTGTTGTGTGTGACTCTCCTCTTCCTCTCTCCATCTGTACCTAATATACTGAGGGCTCTGACCAAAGCCCAGGCTGTGAAGCCCCTTCACCTACTTCCACTGAGAGGCACCTTGTGCTCCAGCCACCTCACCTGCATTCACTGACCAGCCCCTCAGATGAGGTGAGCTTCCTCTCAAAGGCCTCATCCTGGTGATCTTCCCAAGGGACTGACATCTCCAGCAGGACAGCCTGTTTGATGGACTCTGAGGTGAGGACAATATTTGGCCTGAAGGTGGAGGCCACAGTGAGCTGGGAGAACTTCAGCTGTTTCCCCAGATCCACCATCAGCTGCCAGTTCCATGCAGAGGCCAGGATCCCTGCAGATCTCCCCAGCTTTAATGAGACTGATGACCGGCTTAGAAGGGTGAGTCCTCTTGCTCCTCTCAAACCCCAGTCCTGCAATGGCTTTCAGGATTCGATCACAACGCCACCTATACCTTCCTCCTCTAAGTGCTGTGGAGCAGCTGATTAAGATGAACTCAGGGGTTTATTGCTTGGAGCATGATCTTCAAGATGATTTTTCTGCCTTGCCTAATGTGTGTTGCTTTGATCAGCTAGGGAGCACATCAAACACTGTAGTAGCACAGTGAATGGGCTGTGCACCTCAACAATCACTTAGCTAATGATACTGTGAGGGGAAATGGGACGGAGGCCCAGACGCGACACAAGATAGGGCATCTAAAAGCCACCCACGAAATGTGGAAGCAACTGTCTTGTCTGTTCTGGATTATGGAGATGTAATTTATTAACATGCTGCTGCTATAACATTAAAGCCACTTGATTCAGTTTATCATTCCGCCCTAAGATTTATCACAGGTGCAAGTTATAATACTCACCACTGACTTTAATACGATATGGTAGGTTGGTCATCTCTTGAAATGAGGCGAAATAGGCACTGGTTGTTGTTTATACTGAAGGCACTTCTTGGTAAATTGCCGCCTTACATTTCCATGTTACTAACACAGTATGATAACCCTTATCCTACTCGTTCAAATGACTGGCTTATGCTTGGGGTCCCTTGTGCTCGGACTGAGCCCAGCAAGACCGCCTTCCAATTCTCTGCTCCATATTCCTGGAATTTACTACAAAGCACTTTAAAACTGGTCTCTCTTCCATCGTTCAATCAGTTTAAGGCCAAGATCTGAGACTTATTGGTATCATCATGTGTGTGTTTTGATTAATATTTTTACCTCCGCCAAACGAAGTTGGCAGGAGGTTATGTTATCACCGGCATTTGTTTGTTTGTTTGTTTGTTTGCAAGATAACTCAAAAGTAATGCACGGATTTTGATGAAATTTTCAGAGAAGGTGGGTATTAGGACAAGGAACAGGTGATTAAATTTTGGCATATCTGGGCCAAAGTACAGCTGAGATATACGCCAAAGTTCAAGATTTCAAGTCTTTCCGATGGGCTGGAGTTCCAATCGCCATGCTTTTGGGTTTTGCTGCCACCTGGCGGCGGTCTGTGCTCTCTGAGTGCTTTTCTAGTGTTGTGAATGTTCTACATTGAAAACAATGTAAAGGCAGTGAGTGAGCGAGTGGACAAGTGTGCATTCCGTGTGTCATCATCAGAACAAAGTTAAACTAGCCAGCGATTTTGCGTATATTGAAATTCGCCCGATGCTACGAATTCCCAATCTTAAAAAGGTAGCCTACCTCATTTTCCAGGCTGTTTATTTTCACTGCCAGGTGTAAGCTAATACAGCACTATTTTAAAATGGTCCTCTCTTTGTCAAATAATCAAACACAAAAAAGCTTTCGATAGAAATGTAACGTTAAAAAGTGAAACATATGTTCATGAATGCGATATGCCACTGTTTGCAGTGTACCTTAAATGAAATTACTGTTTAGCAAAGGTAGTGTTTGCCTAATGCAAGGTTCGTTAGCAAATGTTATGTCTTCACTAATTACAATACAGGCTCGCTAGGTCATCAGCATCTGTCTGCCAGCGTTACCGTTAAGATAAGCTAAACCTTCGAGGAATATTTGCGTACATAACTTCATGCCTGTCGTGCCGTGCATAATTTACGAAGAATAATGAGCGCATGAATAAATGAACTGAAGTAATTTCATTTGCATCAAGAAAATTTACAAAGAACTAATGTGGACTCACAATGAAATACAATTGAAATAACATTTGTACTGTTTGAAATAACATTTGACCATTTTTGTGGTCACTGGTTTCAACGGTGGTTTGTATGTCTTGAGTTCGTACGTACGAGTGCGAGTCTATATATATATATATATATATATATATATATATATATATATACACACAGAGGCGGACAGAGTACACAGCTTTATTACTTAAGTAAAAGTACAGATACCACTGGTTAAATTTTACTCAAGTACAAGCAAAAGTTCTACAGTCAGATTTTTACTTAAGTAAAAGTACTGGAGTACTTGTTTTTAAAAATACTTAAGTATCAAAAGTAAAAGTAAATTTTCTAAATATTGTATTATTACTGCCACAGTGCTTACCTTTACCTTTTGAAACCCACTGGATGGAGCTTTTATGATACTTTAATGTTAAAGGCTGTATCAGCGATATGAGGTCACTATTGTTGACAGTTGAAACTTTCTCAAAACACAACAGAGCCGCTTGCCCCTCCCCTCAGAAGCTTGGAACATGAACGCGCTTTTCTTAAAGTGAAACTTCTGAGTATTCGCGTCTTTGCATTGACTTTGAAAGTAATCTGTCGCACGAAAAAATCGTTTCGCATCCGGTGTGAAAGCAGCTTAAGAATGGCTCACTCAGCTGGGTAAATGGCCATGTACAGCCCGTTGTGATAAACGCCCGGTAGCAACAATGACCACCATTGCCAGACGATAAATTTACACCATTAGTGCTAGCTACAACAAGGTATCTGACAAGTATCTTAGCTCGGCATTAAAAATGAGTATTAACAACGTCACATAGATCGCCACTTTTAGCTAAACTTATCACGCGGTTATACATTCATCAACAAATTGCAACTCTGAGTACTAACCAGAGAAAAAATGTTATTACACAAACACAGGCTGTGGTTTGATCAGACAGAATGAGCAAACTCACTAGCTTGCCAACCGAGACTTAGCAAAGGTTGCTAACTCGCTCCAAAGAGG